TTCAACAAGGTATCATTATAGATCAAGGATCAAGGACAATGCCTAGATTAGAGTCCTTGGGCCAAATACTCAGCTGATGTAAAAGACCATAGTTACACTGGCAGTAAATGCTATTCTGTTTTACATCCACAGAGAATGTTCCCTTCAACTCTTAGCACGCTGCCATAAATTGAGCCAATGAATCAAAGTAGGGGGCATGTACTGAACTGTGTAAGCTTGGCTTAGGGCATTACATTCTAACATTTCCGTGAAGCAGGCCCGCTCTGTGTGAATAAGTCTTTAATCAACAACTAAATATAAAAGACAGGTCTTTACATTTGATCAGCAGAATGGATTGGCCCCAGGGTCCTGTGTGGTTCATCTGCTGTGCACCCTCCTACCAGACATACTGATCCATTTCTAACAGCTATCAGCCATACCACTTTGTCCATTTTTATGGCTAAGACCTGAGGCAAAGATTTTTACATTAAGCTGCAGTAGTGAGACTGGTCTGAACAGTGTAGAGTTTGTCAGAATTGACAGTCCACTTGGGATTTAATGGCATTTATTGCCTCTTTAATTTTAAAATGAATATATTCATGGGGTTGGACTCTCAGCCGATGTAAATTGGCGTATGCCTTCTAATGAATCATGTTTACTCCTTATAAATAGAAAATTAATTCTCACGTATTGCATTGGACTATGGCTGTGCTATAAGCCCATAGGCTATCATTCTTCTGGACTTGTCAGTTGCCTCATAGAGGTGCCTTAAAAGTCTTAACGAGTTCTCCATTCTCTCTAATCCTGAGACATTTAATCTTCCTCTAATCACAGCTCCCTTTAATAAAGTTGCAGGGCCTGACTGACCACTGAGTTACAGCAGTTTATACCATTGCACCGCCACGGGGGCAGAGGCATCCACTGGAGATACACTAGCATAAAACTTGTGGTTCTATGGATTCAAACATTCTGAGGTTAGAAGGGGCCATTATGATTATCTGACCTCCCCTAGCATTGTCTGACCTCCTGCATCTCACAGGCCACAGAATTTCACCCAGTGATTCCTGCATTAAGTCCAAGAACACAGGGCGGGACTAAAGAATGTCTTTTAGAAAGACATCAGATTTTGATTTAAAGTCTCTAAGTGATGGAGAAATGACCCATCCCTTGGGAAGGTTAATTACCCTCTCTGTGGTAAATCAGGCCCTTAGACTGTATTTGGACATTGCTCAGTCTGGGTCACCTTTTACTACAAGCTCATTCAAAATGTGTCCAGTAGCCTGCTGTAGACCTAATAAACGAATGCTAACCTTAGATACACAAGTTCTGAAACCACCTGATTAACTATGGTTTATAATGGAGGCTGTTTTTATAGAAAAAAGTGTAGATGGACACATTCTTGTCTAAACATCCCTATCTGCCCTATGATAATAAGTCTCTCTCTCACACACACTGCAGTGTATCTTTGCAATCAAACAGAGGGATTATTCTGTGATACAAAATGAGTTATAAGGGGCATTGATTGGACTAACACCTGGCATTCCTTGTATTGCAATTAATTTCCAGGGGATAGGATTTGGAGACTGAGGAATGCTCTTAATCAGTGATATTACCTCAGTTTGCCAGTACTGGAAAATATTTACTGAGGTTTTAAATGAATACACTGGAAGTATATCTCTTCCTTAATTCTTAGTCCTCAAAAATCAAGGTGAACTGAATGATCATTTGAGCCCTGGCTTCCTGTACAGAGGACAGTAAATCTAGGGAGAAAACCCAGTGGGACACAATAGAAGGGCCTGGCAGTAATGCTGGACATGATCCCTTCACTTTTATAGTCCCCCACCCTTGCCAAGAATGGTTCTAGGTAACAACATGACTGGTGACTTCCATTCAGCCATTCTCTATTCCCCACAGCTGGACACAGGATACTGGACAAGGGGATCTGATACAGTGTGACTATTCTAAATTCCTATGTTTATATAATCTCATTTGAGTTGTTTGATTTTTTACTCCAGGGCATGTTCCTAAAAGCTTCGTTCACATTTTAGTAATGCTGCTGCATATGTCACAGCCTATTTGTGCATCGGTACATGATTCTTCAAGGCTGTGCTTTGCATTGCCTACCAAGAATGGCTATCAGCAGCAGTAAGTGTGGCATCCCAGGTGTTCTACTGATCGTTTCAGAATGCACGGCACCACAACATTTCCACTTATTTCCCCAGCAACAAGAGTCAGCCTTAGTTATAAATTTTACCCCCATTCTTCCTAAAAGCCTTTAGCAAGGCTGTATAAACATTGACCTGAACTAGATAAATGCATGGAAGATAGCCACTGATGAGTCCTCCTATCCTATCCTGTTAGCCAGGATGGGCCGGGATGGTGTCCCTGTTTGCCAGAAGCTGGGACTGGGCGACAGAGGAATGTATCACTTGATGATCACCTGTTCTGTTCATTTGCTTTGGGGCACCTGGCATTGGCCACCATCAGAAGACAGGACATTGGGCTAAATGGACCTTTGGTCTGACCCACTATGGCTGTTCTTATGTTCTAATCGTATTTGGGGGCGGGGGGAGTAGGTAGGGGAGAGGGGGCGAGAATTTCCTTTCACTAGTATTAAATTTGAGCCTCACAATTAAAATTTTCTCTTTCACTCAGGTCAATTATTCAGTGCACATGGAAGAAGAATTGCCAGAGCATGTTGCATTTTAACAAAGAGTTAATGGCTCGGCATAAGGAGGTAAATGACCTCTCACTGCACCATACTGAAAGAAACAGACAGCACACTGCCACAAGAGACAATGTGAGGCTTGCTTCAAGAATCTTCCAGAGGGCAGTTACTATAAAATATCCATCTTCCTACAGCATGAATCACAATCCCTGCTTTCCAGATGCTTTGAGAGCCAACGCAGAGGTTAGCAGCTGCATCCCACTGCTGTTCATTGCCTCCAGACTTTGAAAACTAGTCTGGCAGTTTGATCCATACAATTAGTTAATCAATTTACGGCTTGGTTTGGTGGAAAAAGTAAGGACCTGATCCAAAGTTAGTGGTACCACTGACTTCACTGGCCTTTAGAATTGGGCTCTCGTGCATTAGCACACGAGACACTGGTTCAAGGGTGACACTAATGACTGGGCCCTTCTTGTCCGAGGCCACAGAAGGTTAGAGGAGACACATTTATACTCCAGTGATGCAGGGGAGGAATAAAGAGGGTATCAAAGCACAGGCCCCGTCTGGGAAAAGGGCTCTTGAATCAGTAAAAGTATTACTAGTGTCTCTGGTCTGCGCTGTTCCTGAAAGGTGAGCCATCAAAATTATTTACACTTCAAATTGATGAGGCCACGTAGCGTGCAATAAAAAGGAGGAAATGGTAAAGGTCTGTTCCCCTCATGCATCATTTGCAGATGGGAAGACGCACCCTGTGGGTCATTTAAAGCATGATATGTAATGAGCTCTGCAATATTTCAGCTTATCTTTATTATCTGCTTTTATGATCCCACTATGGCTTACACGTGGTTCTTCTGAGACTGCTACCTTTTTCTTTTGTTCTTGAACAGGGGGAAAAAACCTAGGAAGATTTATTAGCATGAGAAAGAGCAAAGGAATTTGAAACATCTCATTTTAGTTGGGTATTTTTATATAGTTCAGTTTCTGTCTAAAGGGCAACAGTTTAAATTGATAGAGAATGTATTCCCCAGGTTTCTGAGCACTGTTAAAGACTTCTACAATGGTGGAAAGTCTCTTTGGCAGAGAAACGAATCAACAAATCAAGGATTTTTCGGTTCGCTAGAGCCCATCCAACTGTTATTATTTGTATTACAATAGTGCCCAGATGTCTGAACTGTCATGGCTGGGTATACACACACATACTAAGAGACAAGCCCTGCCCCAACGAGTCCATAATCCACTCAACACGCAACTGGTGTGTGTGTTGGGGGAATCAGAGGTACAGACAAACCGACTTGCCCATGGCCATACAGCAGGTCAGTGGCCATGAACAGAACAAAGGTGTCTCAAGTCCTGGTCCAGTGTCATGCCTGCTGGACCATACTGCCTCCAATTATTTACTGCAAGTAAATTATTATTGTTCATTCTGTACATTACTGTAGCGCCTAGGGGCCAAACCCGAGACAAGAGCCTTTGTACTAGGTGCTGTACAAACACTAGGTAAGAAACAGTCCCTACCCCAAAATGGGAGGTTATATTACCTCTGTAGTTGGCACTGGTAGAGTATAGTGTCCAGTTCTGGGGTTCACAATTCAAGAAGGATGCTGATCAATTTGAGAGGGTTCAGAAAAGATCCAGAAGAATGATTAAAGAATTGGAAAACATGCCTGATAGTGATAGGTCCAGGAACTCATCTGGTTTAGCTTCACAAAGAGCAGATGTAAACAGGTGACTGATCATAGTTTAACTACCTACAATGGGAACAAATATTTAATAATGGGGCCTTCAATCTAGCAAAGATATGACAAGATTGAATGGCTGGAAATTGAAGCTAGACAAATTCAGATGGAAATGAAGTGCAAATATTTAGCAATGAGGATAATTAACCATTAGAACTTACCAGGGGTGATGGTGAATTTGCCATCACTGGTAAATTTAAAATCAAGATTGGAAGGTTTTTTAAAGGATATGTTCTAATTCAAGCAGGAATTAATTCAGGGAAGTTCTATGGCCTTTGTAATGGAGGTGGTCACACTAGATGATCCATGAGGTCTGCTACAGAACCAGAAATTGAGCCCAAATCTCCCAAGTTCCAGTCCTCTGCTTTAACCCTCAAGAGTAACCTTCCTCTCTGTTACCTAATACATTTAGCCTCTTTATCTGTTTATGAATGTGTCACGAGCTGTTTAAAATTTTCATTTGATATTTGAAGTTATCCGCTGAATAATTTTTGCAATTCATTGTGACTATTTGATGCCCAATGCTGGACATGTAGATCACATGTTACTGCCTTGTTTCCCTCATGGGATGAACTTGTCTCCTAGAATTAGGCTTCCAGTACAAATACTCACATTTGCCTTCCTAGTCTGTCAATCTAGTACTTCTCTGGTGGTTAGCTGATTCCTGCCACTCACACTCCAACTGTGATGCAGAAGATATTTCATTGCATGCATATCCCTTATTGATCCCAATGGGCCAGATTCTGATACCTGTTGTATTAATTTAGATGCGTCCAAAGAGTTAAAATTGTTAACATGATTCTGACACTTTAAAACATTAAACAGTTGTAAACAAAGTTTGGGGCTGGGTAGACAGCGCCTCAGCTTGCTTAGTACCATGGTGAACACCATTAAAAATCCCTTTTTAACCTTTAATTAAATATACAGAAAAGAAAGATAAACAGCTACAGTAGCTGAAGTGTAAACTATTAAATAAGGCTTTCATCATAACAACATCCCTTGTTCCCTTTAGAAGGGAAAAAACCCCTTGTTTAGCAGTCTTTTCATTGGTATTGGAGATAATAATAAGTGTCTTTTCTGGGGAAAAGAGAAAAGAGTTGAGATGGGCTGAGCTGTCATTACCCTAACTCATGCTGGGTAGCACCATACTCAGTAGTCCCAGTGACTTCAGTAGGATTATTGGTTTAACATGAATTAGGGTATCAGAACCTGCCCCTTACACTGCAAAGAAGAGTGAATGGGACTGTACTGAATGGCTTTCTACAAATGATTGGCTGTTTCTTATGCTGTAAGCACAGAGCACGCAGTCTGTGGACGTTACCTTGGAAACGTCTGTGATCTTTGAAGTTTCTCTTATGTGCAGCACTGTCTGCAGTCTTGTCACTTGAGTTTGCATAACAGGAATCCCTGTCCATAATTCCTGGCTCGGCAGCACGGAGACAGAACTGGGTCTGTGAAGAGAGTGAAGAGCACAGATACTGCAAAGCACTTCACGGTGACTCACAGCCCATCCATAGTTTAACAGCCATATTTTCATCTGCTTACCATAAACGTTTTTACTGTATTTAGAAATCCGAGCCAGCTCCGATCCTCTTCGCTTTGACACCTTGCTTAGGTTTATTCAGATGATACCCTGGCTTCAGAGACAAGCCTCCCTCATTTAGGCCCTGTCTGTCACAGGGTAGCTGGTCTCTGCAGATGGATGACGCTCAGTGCCCCAGGACCAGAGCAGGTGAATCCAATCCAGCCAATTAAAGAGGGCCGAGCTACACCTGGGCCTATAAAGGGCTGCTGGGCCAGAGGAAGGACTGAGACAGGCCAAGCCCTGGGGAGTGAAGACCACAGCAGAGCAGAGTTAGCTCCTGTGGTGGGTCCCTGAGGCCAGGGACTCAGGGAAGCAGCCCCTGGCTGCTGCTTCAGGAAGGGAGCTGAGCCAAAAGAGGGCTGGGAAGCTGCCTCGAGCTGGAATGCCAGAGACTCCTGGGAGGGGTGGCCCTGAAGCCTGGGGCCAAGGATGGAGTTTCTGCTTGTTTGATAACCTCTGTTAAAGAAATAAACCTCCTTGACTGAGACTGGGTGTGGCAGCACATGCTTTGGAGACAGGGAGAAGCTCCAGCCCTGGTGACCGGCCCAAACCCTGTAGACGTTGACAGCTCAGCTCCACTCCTCTTCAGGAAAACGGAACCAACTGTGCCCTCGCTGCAGCTCTGCCATGTGTTGTTAAAGAATCACCTGGCTTCATTTATACATCTTCTGGGGTCTGCCCTGATAGTCCTCCAAGGTCATCCGGTCACCACGTCTAGCTGAACTGAAGGGCCTGTCTTCCATTCTCATCTTCTGCTGCTTGGGACAAGATGTATCACCCCTCCTTCCAGACTCTCTCGTTCCTAAGACCTCCAAGATGGTGTATGCTTCTGATTCACCTCTTTCTTCTTCCACTACTTCTCCATTGCCTCCTTTGGGGACTCTTCCTCCACTGCTCTCCCACTCCCTGCAGGAATCCCTAAGGCAGCCTGTCCTCTGCTCCCTTTATACTTCATCCCTTGTTGACCTCATCTGCTCCCTCAGCTTTAACTATGACTTCTCTGGGGACAGTTTACAAGTCTGCATCTCCATCTTTACACCGTTCAGTCGCAGGTCTCTGATAATCTCCCTGACATCTCACCCTGGATGTAAAACACCAACTCAACTGAGCATTGAACCTAAGCCTTCCCTCTGCCAGGGCCGGTTCCAGCTTTTTTGCCACCCCAAGCGGTGAAAAAAAAAACCCAACCCGACTGAGCTGCTGCCGAAGTGCCGCCGAAGTGGAAGGGAGGGAATGAAGGACCCGCCACCGAAGACCCGGACATGCCACCCCAATAACTGATGGAGTTCCGCCCCTTTCTATTGGCCGCCCCAGGCACCTGCTTCCTTCGCTGGTGCCTGGAGCCGGCCCTGCCCCCTGCTCTTCATCACGCTCCCTTGGCATGTAAGCTAGCAACCTTGCTGTAGCATGGTCCAATGGATAGGGCCCCAGACTGAGAGTCGGCAGACATGGGCTCTGCCACTGACTTGCTGTGTGATCTTGAGAAAGCTTCTGAACATCTGTTTCCCCATCTGCAAAATGAGGCTAGGGGTACACAGCTCCCTTTGTAACTCAGACTGAGATCTGTGAATCATATCATAACTGAGTATTATATACAGGCACACCAAATTCCAGTGAGCTGTTACATCTGAATTTCATTAAATGCACGAAAGCAATGTGTAGCAGCGGTGTTTTCTGTCGATTCCTTCCTTTCATCTCTTTCTTTTGGTGGAACAGACAGAATTTTCTATGATTCTCTAACAGATAAAACAATATCTATGATTCTATAATTTGATTATCTTGTAATTTCTATGAATCATGAATCGGCACTGAAGAGTTAATAAAAACCACACAAACACTCTGCAACAATCTGGACAATGACATGTAGAGATATGACTTGACATGTAAAATAACTATAATCAGCATGATTTATTGATTATACCCCAGTATATGACAGGAACTAACTTTGTTGTTTATTAAAATACTGACTCAAATTGATTAACAATCTAATATATCGCAGGGAAAAATAATCCAAAGCACATATACTCATTTTGAGAGGGATGCATGGAAAGCAACTACTTATGATAGTGGGCAGTATATTAGACATGCGTTTGCAGGGTGATATGGGTAGAAAAAAGGCCAGTTCAAATTTGAGCCCAAATGGAGGAGATCAAACCTGTAGTCACTGATAATGGGAAATACAGTTTTTCAGTGCTAGGGCAGCAGAGAGAAGGGGTGGTCCAATGTTTAGGGCACTAACTTAGGACTCAAGATACCTGGAGTCAACTCCCTGCTCTGCCATTGACTTCTTGGGTAACCTTGGGCAAGTCATTTAGCCTCTCTGTGCCTGAGTTCCCCACCTGTACAATGGGGATAATAACACTGCCCTACCTCACAGGGTTGTTGTTAACATATTTTCCCTCACAACTAGGAACAGAAACTACAGTAATGAGGCCATATAAGTAGTATAGATAGATAGTTCAAATCCAGCACAGGGAGTGGCTAATGTAGGATGGCTTTTGGGTGGCCTGTGTCAAATGACATGGTGGACTCAGTGCAGCTCTCTGTGCTCAGGTGTCCATACCACAAAATCCACTATTGGGTGAGCTTCTATGGCCTGTGTCATGCAAATCAGACTAGATGGTAATAATGGTCCCTTCTGGCCTTAAAATCTATGAATGAATATGGCACTAGCTGGCAACCTTCATGGCAGCTCAGCACTGAGGCTGAGAACTGGATGGATGTGGAAGTGGAGCTACTCTCTTACTCTAGAGGTTGTCCCAGCAGGTCTGGTTTGGGGCACATTGGAGGAGCACTGGGGAAATCTTGCATTGCCTCCACCTTTGTTGCACCTCTTCTGAATGGACAGCTTCAGTTTCCTGGATTGTAAACCTTTCTCCAGCATTAAATTCACCATGCCACATTTTAAGTGGATGGTTATGAACTAACAAATCCTAGAATAATAATAATAATAAAATAAGTGGCAAATCCTCTTTTTCCTCCCCTTTTAATTGTGCTTACGTAGTGTCTGAAAAATATATGACATATGATATCTGCTTGCATAAGCAAAACTGAAATAGTATCAGGCAGATATAGTACTAAAGCTAAGTGAGTGTTCATGCTGCATACAGCCAACTGCAATTAGTGCAATTACTTTTGGGTTTTTTCGGTCTGACATTTGATGGTGTGCTCTGAAGTACAATCAAGTACTCCACAATTAGCGTTGCCAATTAAATTAAGAGCAAAAGATCAACTTAATTCATTTTTTTACAAGCCATCCCTCTTCCATGCTGACTCGTGAAGGGCATATCCGTGGTAAGAAAGGAAGAAAATAAGAGTAAGTGACCTAACCCAAAGCCCTGAAGACAATGAAAAGCCCTCCATTGCTTTCAAGGGGCTTCAGATCAGGCCTTTAGTCTCAGAAATCAAAGGCCCATTGGCATGGCTGCAAAGGAATAAACCAGAAACAAGTAGTTGCACTGTCATAGAAGTACCATAGATATCAGGGTTGGAAGGGACCTCAGGAGGTCATCTAGTCCAACCCCCTGCTCAAAGCAGGACCAATCTCCAATTTTCCCCCCAGATCCCTAAATGGCCCCCTCAAGGATTGAGTTCACAACCCTGGGTTTAGCAGGCCAATGCTCAAACCACTGAGCTAGCCCTCCCACTCCCTGCAGTTGCTCTCCCCGCTCCACTCCAAAAGCCAAAGCAGAGGAGGATGCCGGTTGGACGCTGTGCTCAGACAAGCCTTGGGTGAGATGGTTCTACTGAACTGGAGTAAGAGCCTCATAACAGGTCCACAGCAAAACAATTGTCTTTCAGTTCAATGCCATACACATTCAGCAAGGCAGCACTTCCATAACTTGGGTGGGACGTCACCTGCCTTCCACAGCCAGACATGGGTTTCTCCATCAGGTTGACTCTCCTCTCTTCCAATATACAAGTGAAATCCTGGCCCCACTGAAACCAATGAGAAAGCTCCAATTGACTTGAATGAGGCCAGGACTTCTCCATAAATATTTTTACATGTCAGTGTAATTTCTCCACGCACGCAGGTCTGCAGTTTTACAACAATCAATGGCACACAACACAGCTCACCTCAGAAAGCAAAAGAGGCAATAAGGTAACTGTTAATCATTAGTTAACTCATTAGCTATTGAGCTGTCAGTGCTCACCTCCAATTGGCCACTGATGCCAGCTCCACTGACCACTTGTTCAATTGTCAAACAAGTACGCTCTCGTGCTTTCTGCCACACTGCCCAACACGAGTGGGAGGCACTCCCTGTAAACAGCCACTACACCACCTCATTATTCTTCTGCCAACCCCTCCTCACAACTCTCCTTTCCCGTGGTGCCTACAAAAACCCTGACAACAGATAGCTGTGGGTGTGCTGAGACTACTACCTATCATATTAACATGGCCTCTGTGTTTTCTTGTACTCCCGTCTGTTTTCCTCTATCCACTTATTGCCTCGTCTTCATCTCCAGCTGCCGTATAGTTCTGACTCCCAGCTCAGGCAGACGTATACGTACTAGCTCTGCTGGGGCCACCAGGCTAACGACAGCAGTGTGGCCAGGACGGCATGGGCAAAGGCTCGGGCTAACCACCCAAGTACATACATAGGATGTTAGATGAAACTGTACTCAGGCGGCCAGCCCGAGACGCCACCCATGCCACTGTGGTCACACTGCTACTTCTAGCATGCTACCTTGATCCGAGCTAGCTCACGTATGTCTGCATGAGCTGGGAATTATACCTCCCAGCAGCAGAGTAGCCATACGCTTAGATTGTAATCTCCTTGGAGCAGGGACCATCTGTTTGCTCTGTGTTTGTACAGTGCTTAGCACAATGGGGACCTGATCCGTGACTAAGGCTTCTAGGGGCGATGGTAATACACATATAAATAATAAAGATGCTGCTGTGACTTAAAACTGAAATGATAACACTGTATATAGTACAGAGCCTTTTAGCAGAAAAGCTGAGAGATCAAAGTGATTTTCACAAACATAAATTAAGGATCACAAACCCATTTAAGGTAATCCAGTATTATCCCATTTTACTCAAGCAAATAAGTTACAGGCCCTTATCTTATCCTTATCTACATTGAACTCTTACTCACATGAGTAACGCAATTCACTTCAGTGGGATTACTCAAATCAGCAAGACCCAGATCCTCAAAGGGGGTGTTGGGCAGCTGAACTCCTTTGAGGATCCGGGCCACAGCGCTCCCCAAATGCGAATGAGGGTTGTGTAAATCGGCCCCTTAACTCGTGAGGAAGACAACCCAAGCCTCCTGAGTTTAAATCTTCCTCAAACTGGGGAAAGGGCACTGCCTCCCTCTCTCTCCTCGCATAGCTAGAGAGCTGCCAACACTGGGGCGGGGGTAGCTTACGGCAGGGGAGTCACTTCGCTGGGGCTACGCGCGCCTGCCAGGCTGAGCAGCGCGGCCTGGTGGCCCGGGGCTCCCGCTGGACCCGTTTATCGCTCCGCCAGGCTGCGGCCAGTGATTGCGCCGGGCTAGCTGCGGCCTCGCTGGCTCGACCCCGGGACAGCCGCGCGGCGGGGCCCGGCTGCGATGGCGGGGCGGGCGGGGACATAAAGGGGCAGGAGGTCAGGCGCCGGGGGAGCTGGGGTTTCCCGCCCGCCCGCGTGCGGCCAGGCGCCGGCTGGATTTCCCCGCCCCGCGTCCCCGCCCCGCGGGCGAGCGGCTGGGAGCTCCCCGGGGGGCGGAGGCGGCGGCGGCCCATGCGCAGCGGGGCAGGGGAAGCCCGGCGCCGGGCAGAGGCGCTCGCCCTGCCTGCGCACAGCGGCGCTCGGCCGGCAGGGCGCCCGGGGGCTGCGCGGGGCCGGAGGCCGCCTAGGGTCGCGTCCGGCGGCGGCGGCGGCTCCATGGGGCTGCGGGACTGGCTGGGCGCGCTGTGCTGCTGCTGCCGCTGCCCGGGGGATGCTGCGCGGGCGGAGAAGGAGCCGCTGGTCAGGTAAGGGGCAGGGCGGCCCCCCGGCGGCGGCGGCGGGGGGGGGTGCCCGAGCACCGGGCCCCCGCCCGGCCCCCGCCCCGCAACGCCCCCAGCCTTTGGGCTGCCCGAGCTCTGTGCCGCCGCTGGCGCCCAAAGCCGGCTCCGGAGTGCCGGGTCGGTGGCGCCCCGGCTTGCTCGGGCACCTGCGGCGGCTCACGCCCGAGCGCTCGGCGGCCGCTCTGGCCCGGCGGAGTCCGTAGGGGCTCGCTAGGCAGGGGGCCAGAGGAAGGGGCGTTTGTTTGTTGAGGTTCTTGGCGGTTTCCCCAAGTAAGCGGCAGGGAACAGACTTG